GAAGAATTGATGCCTTTGAACTGTGGTGTTGGAGAAGAGTACTGAATATCCTATGGACTGTCAAAAGAGCAATCAGCTGTGTCTTGGAGAAGGTGCATCCAGAGTGCTCCTTAGAGACAAGGATGACAAAAGCAAAAAACTTGGGGCATACTGCTAGGAAAAAAATACTCCTTGGAGAAGGATATCATGTGTGGAAAGTGTAAGACAGCAAAGGCGAGAAAGATACTCATACAAGTGGATTGACACAGTGAATATAACAATGGAATTGTGTGTACCAGACAACAATAATTATCTATTTAACCTCATATAGAGAAATCATATAAAAGCATAATTGTCAAGTTAGTGATTGTTGTGATTGTTATTGTTTTTATGTGCAGTCGAGTTGCCTGTGACTCATAGCGACCCTTTATACAATAGCTCTGAACCATGCCCTATCCTAAGCCTTTCTCACTGATTCTGATACACCTGTCACCATTGCCCCAGATACTGTATCCATCTCATCTGGGATCTTCCTCTCCTGTGCTGTCCCTCCACCCTTCCAAGCATGATGTCCTTCTCCAAGGACTGATACCTCCTGGCCATGTACCCAAAGTATGTGAGATGGAGCTTCAAAATTCTAGCTTCCAAGAAGAAACTTGTTTTCACCCTCTCCAAGACAGACCTATATGTTCTCTTGGTGGTCCATAGTATGTTCAATACTCTTCTTTGGCATCTTACCTCAAAGACATCAATTCTTCTTCTTTTTTTTCTTTTAAGGACATTTCTCTGCTTAACAAGACAGAGACAATCCTTTATGTAAGGGTACTTCTTTGTCCTTTTCACAAAAATAAAATGAAACAAGTGAAACAAGAAATATATGGAAAATCCAATCCATTACCACTGACTGTATTCTTTTTTTTTCTTACTGTTAAGACTTTTTAAATTTTATTTTAATGAAAGTTTACAGAGACTTTTAATTTCCATTCATTCATTGTTGAACACTTTCCTCCGTGTTCACCTCTCCACCCAGTTCACTTTTCTCTTTGAAAAGTAAATAAAATAATAATTTTGTTGTTATACAGTCCTCCCACCCAGTCTACTCCACTATGCAGCTTTCATTCTGGACTCTGACATAACTCTTCTTCTGTCATCCTTAGATCCTTAGTCATTGTCCAGCTCTCTGATACATAGCATGCAATTGTGAAGACCATGACCTAAATCAGGTACACCTTAGTCTCTAGACTGGCATCATTGCTCCTCAGCACTCTGGAGAGGTCCCTGACAGCAGACTCCCACAATGCAATTAATCTTTTGATTTCATGACTGTTTGTGCCAAGAGTGCTGATTGTGGAGCCGAACAAGCTGAAATTGTTAACAACCTCCATCCATCATAGTGCTGTCAATTGACACTGTGATTAGAATCTTTGTCTTCTTTACAGTAAGCTTCAATTCTTATTGGAGACTATATTCTTTGACTTTTTGCAGCAAAGTCTTCAGGTATTCTCCCATATTAGGAAGCAAGATTGTATCACCTGCATAATGCAGGTTTTTGATGAGTCTTGTTCAATCTTGATGTCGCAGTCCTCCTTATAAAGTTCGGCCTCACTAATGATCTCTTCCAGCTGGCCCAGTGGACAGAAGGCGATGCTACCAAGCCAAAGGTGGGTGACTTTTAATCCGCGGCCCTCTGGCCTGTCTTTCATTGTTTTGTTCAGACATTCCTGGAGAAAGACATTATGCTTAGGAAAACGGAGGGTTAGTGAAGGAGAGGAAGACCCTCAAGGAGCTGGATTGACACAGAGGTTGCAACTAGAGTCTTAAGCACAGTAGAGATTGTGAGGATGGTGCTGGGCTAGGCAGGGTTGTTTCTATTGTATATGCTCAGTAAAAGCCTCTCAATGAGGCTTAATAATAACACAACAGCACAAAATACAAAACATAGATTAGTAGCACATAAAAGGCCTGATATATTACTTTAGCTCAGAGTTTCTGAACAGTTACACTATTCGTTTTGCGTAGATAACTGTTTTCTTGTGGAAGTTGTCCTGCATATATTAAAGGGTGCATAGCTCTATCCCTCAAGTCCTATAAACTTAAACAATGAATAATGGTGACAAAAGAAGAACTGATGTTGAGTTGTGGTGTTGGAAAAGAGTTAAGAGTACTACACATCCCATGAACTCTCAAAAGAGCAAACATGTCTGTCTTCAAGGAAGTGCTTCTTAGAGGCTAGTGAAGGATGGGGCAACTTCCTTTCAAATATTTTGGGTATGTTGTTCGGATGAGCCAGTCCTTGGAAAAGGACATCATACTGGGAAAGGTGGAGGGTCAGAGAAAGAGGGGAAGATTCTAAACAAGATGTTTTGACTCACAGGTTGTAAAAACGGGCTCTAGTATATCAGAGATGGTGAAGATGACACAGAATGGGGTTCAGGTCTGTTGTGTATGTGTTTGCTGTGAGACACACTTCACTTGATGGCACTAACAACAACAACAACATGATCCCTGAACTACTCTTGCATTGTGGTTTCAAATATTTCATACAATAGTACTTTACAGCTTTAAAATTTTAGAATCCAGATTCAGCTCATGTGTTAGTTGACAACTTCTTTTAAGCAGCATAAATTTTTTACTTATTAGAAATATTTCCCCTTTTTAATAAGATAATTAAATTATTCAGAGTAAGGAAATCCAAAGAAGAATTGATTTCTTTGAATCATTTGTTGTGATTTTGACTACTTTAAAGCCACTAATGATTTTAGAGATGGAATTAAATACAGGGTTTGCACAGTTCAGTATAGGAAAAGACACTTTCAATACAGATTTGAAGCAATCTTGTTACTTCTTTTTCATTTTTCTTTGCAAGTATGTGTATGTAGTTGTTAGGTGCCATCAGGTATGACTCCTAGTGACCCTATGAACAGACCTGAACCCTGTTCTATCCTAGCCATCCTCATCATCTCTGGCACACTTACGGGGCCCGTTGCTGCAGTCACTGTGTCAGTCCATCTGGTTGAGAGCCTTCCTCCCCCTCGTTGATTCTCCACCTTTCCAAGCATTATGCACCTCTCCAAGGAATAGCCAGCTTTGCCATCTTTGCCTGCAGAGATTTTTTTTTCCCCAACAACATATCTCTTTGATCTTTTGGCAGTTCGTGGGATATTCATGTTGGAGCAGGGTTTCTCTAACACCCCAACTCAAATCCATCATTCTAGGATCCTCCAAAACCCTAAAAAATTGTTCAGGGGATTGCAAGCCAGTAATTAATGAATTTTGTGGTTGTGACCATCCCTGACGATAACCTAAACCAAGAATCCCTTGTGAATGTGGCAGCTCACAAATCCAACAGAATGATTTGTGTTCAGGGTGTGTAGAGAGAAACAGAGGGAGCTTCCTTCTCGGGTCTCCCTTCTGGGAGTGATGCATGTGGTCACAATTAGTTTTAGATAAGATGGTTGCGTTTCTGAAGAAAGCAAATCTCAAACCACAGATTACAGCAGAACCATCTGCGTGAGAATGGTATCAAGTCTCCTTTTCCTTGTCTTGCTCCAGAGGCTTTTTAGTTAAAATGATTCATTTCAACTTCAGATGCAGAGGTTTCCAGGTAAACCACTGTAGTCCACCCAGTTGCTGGACTCACGAGAGAGGGGAATAGTTTGCAAAGTAGTCCGCGCGAGGACCACTTTAGAGCCTAAACCAAAAAAACCCCTTGAAAAGCTCCTCAAAACTGGAGACTGAAGACTGCATAAACTCCAATCTTCCTCCAGCATTGCGATCTTGAGCCACTGTGTCCTCCCGGCTGCCAGCAATTCCCAGAGTACTTGCAATCCCCTCCCCAGCGCATTGGAGTGCGTGCGTGCCTGCAGATCCCGCGCACCAGCCGGGGAACTCCCAGGCGCACTCGCTAAATAGCAAACAGATGCCGCCATGCCAGAGACCTCACCCGCTAGGGCACTGCCTGGGAAACGAGTTGCAGCCTTGTGGTTTCCGGGTAGAAAGGCTGGTCTCCAGATTATGTTATTTTCTTTGCTTTAAAAGGGCCAGATTTGAAAGCAAGACGCCCCTCTTTTCCCCGCACATTGTTGTTTCCGCTTGGAAGGTCAGACCCATCTGAGGACTGGAAAGCTCACCCCTGCCGCCGCCTTGGCGTCTGGAGAGGCTTTCAGCAGACCCTCTCAGGGTAAGGCGGGCAGCTCCTCACCTTGGTCTAGGCTCACTACTTTCCCTACACTCAGCTCTACTTTTTTTCTTTCAAGTTCTATTCCAGCATCTCAGGACCATGCACCTCGCTTCGCTGTCTGGGAGCTGTGCGCCCCGTCTTTCTTTTGGAGGGGAATTAAGGGCCCAAAACTTGGCTCCAGAAGTTTGTGTGAGCAAGGCCTCAAGGATGATTTCAAAGAGCGTTTCCAAATGCTGCTTCTCCATCCAAGGCTCAACCATGCACGCGGGCGCACGGAATGCGAGGTGCCTGCTAATTAGCTCTGTAAGGCGCTGTCCAGTCTACAACCACCCATAGTGACTTTGTGAACAACAGATGTTAATCATGCCCTATCATGCTCAAGTTTAAATCACTGTATCAATGCATCTTGTCGAGGATTTTCCTCTTTCTCTGACCCTTACCTGTTCCCTTTTCACTCCAGCAAATCCCATTAATCTAAATAATCCTGTCAGAAGCATTCCGGTTGAAGTTTGGTCTGATCATCTCGGCCCCACGCCAGCCCTAGCACTCTTCTGCGCGCTCTTTCCCTTTGGACAGAAGGGGCGCGCGCTTGGGTGCGCCTTTTTCCCAGGCTCCAGTGGGGGTGGGCATGGTAGACAGAGACCTGGATCTGATTAGCTGGGAGGGGGAAGCTGACTCTAAGGTTGTTTTCAGCCTCTCAGTTCCTCAGCTCTTCCTGGAGGAGGAGGGACGGTATAAAAGAGGAGGGGCTAGGGGCCCCTCACTGAGCCTCCGGGTCTAGGATTTGAGCCACCAAAGCTGTTGCTGGGTTCTCACCTCGTCCATGTCCCAGGCACCAGCCATGGGGCCCTCTACCAGCTCGGGCTTCTACGTGAGCCGCGCGGTGGCCGCGCTGCTGGCCGGGCTGACGGCCGCGCTTCTGCTGGCGCTGGGTGTGTTCGCTGCCCTGTACGGCCACTGCACGCGCGTTCAGTCCTCGGAGCCGTGCGGCCACGCGGTCAACTGCTCAGCGTCCTCTGCTCCCCGCCAGCCAGAGGAGAAGCCGCCGACCTCGACACCCGAACCTGCGCGCGAGCCGGCGGTGGCGTCCACTACAAGCACCCGGCGACCCCCGGGGCCCTGGGACCAGCTGCGCCTGCCGTCGTGGCTCGTGCCGCTGCACTACGAGCTGGAGCTGTGGCCTCGGCTGCAGCCTGGGGACCTCTCAGCGGAGTCACTGAGCTTCACTGGCCGCGTGAACATCACTGTGCGTTGCGCTGTGTCCACGACGTGGCTGCTGCTGCACAGCCTTTTCCTGGACTGCGAGCACGCCGAGGTGCGCGGTCCCCTGTCTTTGGACGCTGAGAATGCCACAGTGGATCGCGTGCCGGTGAACGACGTATGGTTTATGCTAGACACAGAGTACATGGTGTTGGAGCTCGGGGAGGCGCTGCAGCCCGGAAGCCGTTATGAGCTGCAGCTCAGTTTCTCTGGCCAGGTGTACCAGGACACCAGGGAGGGGCTGTTCCTCAACGTCTACACTGATCAGGGCGAGCGCAGGTAAGGGTGAGTCTGGTCCCCATAACTTCTGTGGTCTGCAGCCTCCACGTCCTCCTGAAGATCACCTGTCCAGGTGCGGGTCTCGTGCCCTTTCCAAAAAACCCCTAGCTTATTCTAGAGCTAGAGGATGAGTCTCCTGGGTTCCCTTCCAAACAGCGACTGGATACTATTAAGGAGTCTCTGTTTCTTTTCTGCCCAGTTTTAGGCTCCTTCCTTGCCCCATCCATCTCTGCACCGTTTGAGGTCGTGGCCATCCTAGAAGTTTATCCTTTCCCAAACCCTGTTCCTTTCCCCTTGTAGAACACAATTTCCCCTGTAGACCTCGTAGTGTGATCCACGGTCCAGCGGTTTTGATACCTAGATGCCTATTAGAAATGCATTCTCTTGGGTCCAAGAGAAACAGGATCTGGTTATTGAGATCCCCAGGTGAGATCAGCAGAGTTGAAGAGAATCAACAATCCTGGCCTCTCCCTTGAACTTCCCTGCTCGGCTTTTCCTCCTTTATTGAGCAGCCCTCCCGCCATACATTCAGCTCCTGCTCTTTTCCCTTGAGCACTTCTGGCATTTTTTTTGTAACAAATATCATTTACTTCAGGGATTTTTTTTTTAATGTCCGTTGATTATTTTGCTGAGGTTCTCAGCAAACTTTATTACCTGTAATTAGTTTCCTCCCATTCACTTGCCTTGGCCCATCTCCCTAGCTCTTCAGAGAATGGGATTCCTTTACTTGAAAGGGGGGAGGGGGAGAATAAAAGCCATGAGGAGAGAGCTTCCTGAGTTTGCGTGGTGTACGTGTACTCTCTTTACCCTCATTTGGGATAATGCCTCCACACGTAATGATCCCAGTCTCTGCTCAAAAAGAATGGCTTTTTTCCACGCTGTGTGACCACATTACTGACCCCCACCCCCCTCCCCGCAAGCGCTGGAGAGACGGTTTATGTGGAAGATGCCAAAAAAGGTCTCTCTTTTTTTTTTTTTCCAAACTGGCCATCACCAGTACTCACACATTAGTGGGGTATTTGAGGTTTACACAACTGCATGTACTTGCCCTTTATTATTAGAGAAAAATGTTCTCAGATGTTCTCTAAGGGGAAGAAATATTTACTAAATTACTCCTTAACTCATCTCCTGCATTATTTTCTAAACCTAGCAGATTTAAAAAGAAATTGTATAAGCTGTCTTAGTGAGTGTGTAACCTATAACGTTGGTTTTTTAGTACAAAATGTTGTTTGTCTCTTTATAAAATGCAAAAAAGGAGTTTTGAGAATTTTCCCATTACAGTGTGTGACAGGTCTTGTGGGCACTAGAAAGAATGGCTTGTATATGGTGTGATATCATTCAGAAGGGGGAAAAAGTGGGAATTCTTTCTCATGTCATTAGATGAGGTCATTGGTTTCTTCCTTCTTCCTGTCTTTAACTTTGACCCAGGCACACTAACCCAGAGGGTCACAGGCAAGGGAAGTGCCTTTCATTTTTCTACGGTGCTGTCAATTCCAGCAGTAATTACTCATTTTCCATCCAGTAGATTTTGACTCACAGAGATGCTCCTTCATTTCCAAAGCTGTAAGTTGTTACTGGAGGTTTTCTCCCTCTCTTTGCCTCCAAAGAGAGTGATCCCTTCCAACCACTGATCTTTATGGCTAACAGTAACTAGAAACTTCATCTCACTCACTTTGGACATATTTTCAAGAGGACTCTGTCCTTGGAGAAAGACATCATCCTGGGAAAGATGGTCAGCAAAAGAGAGGAAGACCTTCAAGAAGATGGATTGACAGAGGTAGTGACTTACCACAATGGGCTTGACCAGGACAGAGATCATGAGGCTGGCACAGGATAGGGCAAAATTCAGGTCTGTTGTTCATAGGGCTATGACAAGTCATAGTCATTTTTATGACACCTAAGAAGAAATAGTTGTTAATGTTTTGGGAACATACTAATAGAAACTAATAAAGACTTGTGTATGTTTTTCTGCTAACTGGACCTTGAAAGTCAAGATATATGAAAGCCACTTGCTGCCTTGTCACCTTTGAAGACTTGATGTGTGTCAAAGCAGAATGGTTCCGTATGGTTTCAGTGGCTGATATGGGAATCCCAGAACATTTAATTGTGCTAATGCGAAACCTATACTTGGATCAAGAGGCAGTAGTCAGAACAGAGCAGGGTAACACTGCATGGTTCAAAATTGGGAAGGGTGTACGCCAAGGATGCATCT